GATTTCTATAAAATGGGGTTCCCCAGCTCCCAGGCCATAGACTGGTACTGGTCCTTTAGGGACCGGACCAAACAGCAGGTGGTGAGTGGCAGGTAAGCAGGTGAAGCTTCATCTGTGTTTGTAGCTGTTCCCCATCACTCACATCACTGTCTGAGCTCCACCTCCTGTCGGCACAGTGGCCTTAGATTCTCACAGGAGTAGGCACCCTACTGTGAACTGCGCATGCAAAGGATGGAGGTTGCACACTCCTTCCCAGGGTCTAATTGTGGTGATCTGATGTGCAGCCTCGGAGTGGCTACCAGTGTAGGTTATTAGCAAAGGTTTGACTGCGCAGAGATTGTAATTGCTTGCTTGCGGACTCCTATCAAAACACTACCAATGAGTGCCACGTGACAAGCTGTCTTTAGAGACAGGATTTATAGTGGCAAGTGAGTTAATATACTCAGTTGAACAGCTACATCTGGTTGCAAGCTTTTGTTTTTTGTTGTCTTTTGAAGACACGGTCTTGCTATGTAGTTCAGGCTGGCCTTGAGCTCACTTTGTAGCCCAGACTGGTCTCAAACTTGCAACGATCCTCCTGCCTCAGCCTCCTGAGTACTGGGGTTACAGGCATGCGCCACCATGCCCAGCCTGGTGGCAAGCTTTAAATTGAAATCTGACACTGATTGTAGTCCCTTTGTGAGTTGCCCGTTATTTTATTTACCATTTGTGTCCATACCGCTTCCTTGCTGTGTACTGGTTTTGCTTACTTTTGATAAGCCCAAGCTAACCCTAGCCGAAATGAAGAAAAAACAAACGTCATGGGGCTGGGGCTGTAGCTCAGTGGCACAGCACCTGCCTGGCAAGTGTGAGGTTATAAGTTTGATTCTGGTACCAAAAAAAAAAATCACTTCTTTAGGCCTCTTTGAAAAGGAGGAAAGAGCCACTGGTGAGACAGCAGAAGACTCTAAGACTGCCAGCAGAAGCAAGCTGCTTTTACAAGAAAATACTAGGAGTCTTACTAAAGTTACGGATTTGTTGCAACAGATGATTACATTTTCCAAGCCCACTTTGTATAATATGTGGTGAGCAGCTAGCCACTGAAGGCATGAAACCTTCAAAATTGCTTTGCTTCGTGAGGAACAAGCACCCTGCATTAAAAGACAAGCCTCTGAAGTTTCTCAGAAGTAAAAAAAGTGGACGTGAAGAATAGAAGCAATTACCACCTCCTCAGTAAGGTCATTCTTAGTGGCCACCACGTTGCCAGAGCTAAGAAGCCCTTCACGGTTGATGAAGACTTGGTCTCGCAGGCTGCTAAGGGTATGCTTGTGAACTCAGGAGCACTGCAGTTTAAACTGGCATGTGCTCCTCTTCTGGCTAGCACCGTACTTGGATGAACTGATGAAATAGCAGAGGGTTTTGAGGCACAGTCGTTAGCAAGGAATAATGACTCATTGTGGCACAGAATGCAGGTTGATGAGTCTGTGGACATTGTCAAGGCAGCAGTGCTTGTTTTTATGTGATCTGTTGGATTGGAGGATGTACATGAAGATACGTTACGTGCACTTTTGTTGTCAGCCAACATCAGAGCTTCAAATATTGAGTGATTGCGTATCAGGGAGACTGAAATGGTCATTGCTGCTGATTAATGCCTGACTGGATGGCTTTCTGGTTTCACTGTTCTGGTCAAAGAGGTCACGACGGAAGATGAGTTTATGCACTGTGTCATCCATAAAGAAAACTGGCTAGTTAAAGAGCATTGCTTGACTTTAACGTTTTGCAGAGTGTGATTAAAATTATTAGCCACATTAAAGAACATTCACTTAACTCACATCTGTTGGTACAGCTCTGTGAGGAGGTGGGGGCAGAGCACACACATCTTCTCTTACAGAAGTAAGGTGACTTTCTAAACGTAGATCCCTGGCCAGAGTTTTTGAGTGACAAAAACCACTCCAGAGATTTCTTTGGAAAAACAGTCACCACTGGCAGCACATTTCAGTGACACAGAATGGGTCATAAAACCTAATCATGTGATGTATTCCACCTGTTCTGCAAACTCAATCTGTCGGTTCAGAGGAGAATGACAGGTGTGTTCAGGTGTGGCATACAAAGTGGCTGCATTGCAAAGCAAACTAGAATTGAGCAGTGAATGAACATTGGGATTTTTGACATCTTTCACACATTAGCAGAGCTCTTGAAAGAGGCTGGTTCAGGGCCTTCTTTCTCCCTGCTGGTGCATGATAACCTGTATCAACTTTCAAAAGAGCGTGGGCATTACTTCCCAACCACAGTGACCCCCAAACTGGAAAGAAGTGGATCTGTGATCCGTTTGTAAATAAGCCAGGGGAATCAGTTTGACCGTACTAGAAGAGGAGCAACTGCTTGATATCACAAATGATGATGGCCTTGATGATTGTGAGACAACTTCTAATCACCATACCTTGTGGATTAACTTTCCCACTGGCTTGAGCCACTAGAGGGAGGTACATGCATGATTGTGGGTTTGGGCCGTTTGTGTCACTTGAGGGGACTGTCCGTGCTGCCTGATAGGGCAGTCGTGTATGCACCATCAGAGCTGTCTGCTGTAATGCACATATTAAAGTTGTTCCTGAGACTGCCACAGAAGCACCAAAAAGCTTGCTTCCATTTCCAGCATGCTAATTTGTGAGACAGGTTTTCTGCAGTGATGGCAACCAAACGACATCATGGAATAGATAAGCAGCACAGTTAGGGTGTCACGGCCCCATCACCCCAGATGGGACTGACCAGCTACAGGAAAACAATTGGCATTTTTTCTCCTGACTTCATGATTGTTTTGATACAAAGCAAGTGAGTGTTTAGCTTTCCTGCAGAAATGATTGGAAGAGGATCGTATTATTTCTGATTCATAGACTATGGACACCAAGTTCTGTATGCTGTATGATTATTAGTTATTTCATAATCATCAAGTAAAATAGCTATTAGAAAAAAGACTAGTTGCAGATATGCTTTTTTATATATCTGAACAACTATTTGAAGTATACAGAATGATGTTGGCATAGATTGTTAGCCTGAGTAGTGAGATACTTTATGATAACCATTACTTCCATATATGTCTGCTTTTGTTCTTAGAGACCTTAAAACTTTGTTTTACAGTACTTGCTGAGGAAGTAAAGTGGGTGAGAGCTGTGTTGTGGTATCATTGTTGGATGACCAGGTGCCCTTTCCAGCCAACTCTGGCACTGTTGGAGATGAGTAAACAGTAGTTGATCCCATTTGTTTTAAAAGGTGTTTAAGTTTGATTTTTTGCATGTGGTATAATGAAATTAGATTTTTAATTGAGGGAGAAATATTCCGAACAATGAAATAAATGTTGACTTCCAAGAGAAATCTTCCTTCAATTTCTATGAAGCATTCCTATTTTTTTCTTTTTCTTTTTTTTTCTTTTTTTTTTCAGGCCAGGGTACCTGACATTTACAATCTTCCTGCCTTAGCCGCTCAAATTCTAGGATTTTAGCTGTGTGCCACCATGCCCAGTTGAGCCTTCCTATTTTCTTGAAGGGTCAGTGAGACTGGGCATGGTGGTGCACACCAGTAACCCCAGCACTCAAGGGGCTGAGGCAGGAGGCTTGTCACACATTGGAGGCTGGCTTGGGCTACATAGTGAGTTCAAGGCCAGTCGGAATTGGAAAGGGAGACCCTGTCTATAAGTAAGTAAGTAAGTAAGTAAGTAAGTAAAAAAAGGGTCAGTGTAGAGTGATCAGTTTTTCAGTATCAGATTCAGTGATCAGACCTGACTTATAGAAATTAAATCATATTTCTAAGTTTCCAGAAGGAAGTATTCACGGTTAATTTATTGTCTTAACCATACAAATTAAGTTTTATATAAAAAGTAATTGTTTAAGCTATACATTATATTTTAACTTATTTGAGCAAATGATGTTATAAGCAAAATCTCTCCGTGGAAGTAAATTTTTGAGAGTGAGGAAGAGAGAAGCTAATCAGCCTTTTAAGTGGTAGTTACTGATTACTTTGGAAATAATTTCCTAATGAGGGCATTTTGTTCTTCGGTTAGTGAGGAAAAGGAAAATGTGTGTGAGAGAAAAGTACAACCTTAATGGTTAAGTACAGATACAATGATTAGCTGTCTTGTTTTGAAGAGCTGCACAATTTTAAAGGACTATCTACTGCTGCTGTAGTTGTAAATTAGAAGTATTAAATTGGTAGTTACTGTGCTTTTTACCCCCAATCAGGGTAGATAATACTAACTTTCAAAGTAGTAGTCTCCTGCACATTCATGCCCAGTCCTAACCCCACTTCTGACTCCGGTGACAACCGTGTGTGTGTGTGTGTGTGTGTGTGTGTGTGTGTGTGTGTGTGAAGGCAGCGTGTATCTCGCTGCCTCAGGCTCTACGAGAGACCAGTGCAGCGTGCGACCTAATCTGTGCTAGGGGATTCGGAGGTGTGAAGGGTACAAAGCTGGAGCGGAAGTGGTTACTTTTCTGAGGAGGGTTTGTGTTGGAAGCAGCAGTCAGTGAGCCTGGAAGACGCTTTGCACTCCGCTAAGCAGAACACCGAGTTAGAGCCCGGAGCTGGACACAGCTCACCGTTGTTCTGCGGGCTGGTGGGCTTTGGGAACACTCAGCTGTTGCCTGATACAGTTCCTAGCAGTTACTTCTAGAGCTCTAGATAATAACTTCAGATAGAGTAGTGAAAGTGGACTCTTGGATATGAAAAATATTTATCCTTATTCATACTGCGCTGCTTTTTTCTTGTTCTTGTTCTTCTAGAAGTTAGTACTGGTTTTTGTTTTTGCAACTTTCTCCTGTTATTTATGTTTGTGACTAAACAACACACCTGTGTTATTTGTGGCTTGTGTGTTCCCCCAGAAGAGAGATGATATTTCACAGTGAGTATTAAATAAGCTGTTACGTTTTTGGACAGGAGAAGGAAAAAAAATGGAAATGATGCATCTCGGTCCTAGGAATAAGAAAAGAGTAATACTACTTTTAACATGAAAGCTAACATCTCTTTCTTTTTAGGTTGAACAGGTAAAACTACTGGACCGGTTCAGTACCAGCAACAAGGCATCAACAGGAACTCTGTATCTTACGGCCACGCATCTGTTATTTATAGACTCGCATCAAAAGGAAACCTGGGTAAGAAGGCAGGACTGCTTACGGGAGCAGTAGCCGTGTTTTGCTGTGTTTCAATTTGAATATTGTCTTAGTCCCTCTCTTTATTACTGGAACAAAATGCCCAGCACCACAACTTAAAGAGGGAGGGATTTATGCCCACTCAGTTTGCAGTCCATGGTCGACTGTCCCAGGTGGAAAGGCACGGCAGAGGGGCAGAGCAGCAGAGAAGCTGCTCCTGTCGCGGTGGGGGGAGTCGCGAGCAAGAAAAGGGGGGTCCAGAAGAGAGAAGCCCTTGCAGGCCGCGGCCCCGGCGGCTCACCTCTTCCACCTTCCAACAGCAAGTCAGCTCCAGACTCATCCGTGGGCTGATGCACAGGTGACCGTCCTGTGCCTGTGATCCAGTCACCTCTTAGGAGCACATGAGGGTTTGCGGGGACCTCTAGACGTAAACCATAGCAAATATGTTCAACAAAATTTTTAATCATCAGTTACTTACCGCAGAATTTTTTCGGTCTCTGAATCACTCTTCCCTTTTATAAATCCTTGATGCCACCTACAGTAGTACCTCAGTTCATGAGTGCTTCTTTTCACAGACAGCTCAGCTGCAGCAGAGTTACAGAGAGACTTACATTTGTGAACAGAGGTACCACTTTGTAAACATCGCAGTATACATACACGTGTGTAAACATCCGTGTGTGCATATGTAGGAGATACACGCACACACATTTGCAAGTACACATTCGTATATATGCATGTACACTCTGAAGTACCCCTTTGACCCTTGAGCACGATACTGGGTTTGAACTGTGCAGGTGCATTTATGTTCTTACCTTTTTTCTTGGAAACTTACAACAATTTGAAAAAATTTACAGATGAGCCTTGTAGCATAGAAATACTGAATAAATTAAGAAAAACTTAGAGATGTGTTCATAAAATATATGTAGATAATAGTCTGTCATTTAATGCCATAAAGTATACACAAATCTACAAAAAGTTAAAATGTATTAAAATGTAACACGTGTAAACACAGGTTGTACACGGTACCATTTGCAGTGTTCTAATTCCGTAAAATTTATGTAGTGCATAGTGTGCTACAGTAATAATTTCGTAGCCGCCTCCTAATGCTCTTGTTGTGAGCTCAAGTTTTGCAACTATCTCCTTAAAACCCTGTGTGATGCTGTTTGGCAGGGTCTGCAATTCCATGCCAACTTTAAAATGTTTTTTTTTTTTTTTTTAATAGAATTTGTCTTTTACTGATTTTATAAGAGTTCTGGATTTAATGTTTTGTCATTATGCGTGTTATCACTGGCTTTTGCCAGTGTGTGTCTTATCTTTTGTGTATTTTTGTGTATATGTCTTTTAATTAAGTTGAAATTTTAAAGTTTTTTTTTCTTTTTGGTTTTTTTGAGATAAGGTCTCACTCTGTAGTGCAGGTGACCTTGAACTCACTTATGTAGTGCAGGCAGTCCTCTTGCCTCAGCGTCCTGAGTGCTGGGATTAAGTGTATGTGCCACTATGCCCAGCTTGTTTTTAATATTATAGATTTTTTCATTTTATTCCATTATGGCTTGTGCTCTTTTGTGATTTAAGAAATCCGTATGTCGAGGTCTTAAATGTTCTTCTATATGTTCTCTAGTAAGTTTAGTTTTATTTTCCACATGTAAGTTATAAATACATTTAGGGATTGTTATGGTGTGTGGTGTGGCATAGAGATTCAGCTTTATCTTTTCACGTGGACATGCAGCACCATTTACTGACTGTTTTATTCCTTTGGTCCTTAGAACCAGCTTTCCCGTAAATAAATCTTCATGTATGAGAGGCTCTATTTTTGAGCTCTGTGCTCTATTCTTCTGGTGTACTGAGTGTAATATACCTGTGCCACACAGTTTTACTGACTTTTAGGAAGTTTTAAGATCTCGTAAAGCAAACCCTCTCAACTCATTCCTCAGAACCGTTACAACTGTTTGTGCTCTTTGTTCTTCCCCTTGTCCAGCCGCTCATGCACTTAGCATACATTTACTGAGCATCGCTATGTTTCCTATTATTCTAGGTAGTTTTTGGAGACAGAAGCCAATAATAACAGGAATTGTGTCTTCTAGTGGGGAAAGATGAGAATAAGATGCATGATGAATATGCAGTAGAACAATAGGAAAGGGGCATGGAATGTGCGGCTTGCTTCTGTGCTTAAGAGAGACTTAACACATGTTTCTTTGTGACCCTGGCTAAGCCAGGTTTTGTAACCTCTGTTTTACAGGTGAAGTTGAAGTTAAGGGAGGTGGTGGTTTCTTCAGGGTCACACAGGTAGAACAAAACACTAAATAAGAGGAGCTTATGGGGTGCAGCCAGGTAGCTTGGGTTCCAGGGCCAGCTGTGCTCCCTTCTGCTCCAAGTGAGTATCTGACCAACAATGGTATCAAACCTCCCAAAGCAGAAGAGGCAGGGTGGCCTCTCCTTAGACCCTCCTCTGCTCGTATCAGGGAGAAGACGTTCTCCCTCGTGGTTCACTGTTGACTTTCCCAAACATCTGATCGTTCAGAAATACTTGGAACCTGTAAGGGAGACAAAGAACACAGATTTGGGGCATTTTTGATCTCTTGAGGGAGATGAGTATTGTCCCTAAGGAAGATGGAGAGGATGACATACCCGGGTGTCGGTGCCAGTTGTGTAACTTTGAGCTTAGTACCACCACGAGATGGGGATAGCGTCAGTCTTTGCGTAGGGCTTTTGTGACCCTAGATGAGAGAAAATAGAACAGCATTTCGGTCTAAAGCACAGTAGTGGCTCAGTAAATCACAGCTGCTCGGACTTTCTCTAAGCAATAGAATCCAGACTACAGCAGCCACGTTGGTCTGGGTTACACTGCTTTTGGCACATACTTCCTTCTTCTTTGTACTCTTTGAGTCCCCTGAAGCCCATCTGGTTGATTTGTGAGTGTGGTGAGGAAGTTCAGGTGCTCGAACTAGAGACTGACCTTGAATACCTGTATTCCTTAGAAGTGCTGGGCCCCTTCTGTACCTGGGGCTGGAGTCTTGCTGAATGGTGCCTTGTGAAGCAGTTACTCATGTCATCATTCACTCTGTGTACCCTTCCTTTGTCTGCCTGCCTCAGTAGCTTCTCTGTGTGTTTTCTCTCTCTTGGAGGCACATATGAAGTATAGATAGTCATTCCTTCAGACAGGAGGGGTAGGTCATTGCTTTAGATACTGAGAGCGTAGTTGGAGAGAGCAGCCAAAGGTGTCTATGTTATTTGCTCCTACTGCTGTCTTTATGGCGCTTTCTTTTGTTGTGGTTGTTGGTTTTTTTCCGGTACTGGGAATCAAACTCATGACCTCGCGCTTGCCAGGCAGGCGCTGTGCTGCTGAGCTAAATCCCCAGCCCTGTTTATGGTGCTTCCTTACGAGCACATTCCCGTGTGCTCTCCTAAATGAAGTCTTGTTTCATGTGCTAGATCCACAGAAGTAGTATTTTAATTTTAGAAGAAGCCTTACCCACCTTTTCTTCTGTTGTCTCATGTATAAATAGTTTTATACATGACTATTTTTTCAGGACCGCACAAACTAGGTAGAGGTAGAGCCAGATCCCTTTATCATTCTTTTGCAAATACTGTTGTATTTTATTGGGATCATAATATCACGGAACACTACAATTAGATTCTTGGCCCTTATTCTCTATTTAGATACCATTTTTGGTCATTTTGAGTAAATTACCACAGGCTCACTAACATAAACATCAACAGTACTGATTTTTAGCCATACAAAAGGGCTATATGTATGTATGTGTTTATAATAATCTATGATATGTATAGTTTTAATTTTTACAGAGTAAGTTCTTTTCTCATAGGTCTTTATCAAGCTTTTTTGATTATTTGCATGCACTTAATCTTGCATGTGAACTTTAGATCTATCATATGTAATAATATTAACATAATAATACAGTATAGGTGTATTATATAATAATCTTCCTTTACTGTGCCACAAAAAAATAGGAATGGTGTTGAAAAAGTAGACTTTTAAAAATAGCAAACAAAGTATTAGTAGCAGTATTAGTGATCAGATCTCAGTATTGAGTTTGTAGAAGGTCTTTTTATTCATTTACTTGGTGAACATTTATTCTGTGAACAGAGGTATAAGGGATATCGCCTATATTTCTAGCTAGAGACATGCAGTCATTTTATAAATTGTATGTTTGAAAGTTTAACACATAATATTTGAGATGTTATTTGAGGGAGGCATTCCTCACATTTACACATTTTGAGAAAAAATAAATAATTTAGTGCTTTCTGCATTGATGACTTGAATTTTTTTCCTGCTGTAGATTTTGCACCACCACATTGCCTCGGTGGAGAAACTTCCTTTGACTACTTCTGGATGCCCACTCTTGATTCAGTGCAAGAACTTCAGGACTGTGCATTTCATTGTTCCCAGAGAAAGGGATTGTCATGATATTTATAACTCTCTGCTACAACTGTCAAAACAAGGTATTGTTCTTAGGGACCGAAGTTTGCATGCTCAGTTTGAGATGAGTTGCCCAAAGTATTTTAATGTCTCGTAATTGTTATTTGGTACTTTAAGTTTATGTAGTCAGGATCTTGTGCATTCAACTGTCCCCTCCCCGACACCATGGCCTACGGATAGAGACGATTGATCTGAGTTGAATGCTGTCCAGAGCAAAGCATTTACAGTGCAGAGTGAAGCAGCTGTATATTTATAGTTTAAAAATCTTTTGATGGCAAGGAGTACTTTGTATTCCACAAACCAGGAGACTTGGAAAATGATACTACTAAATGGAAAGATAAGGAAGGTCAGTTTCCTCTGGTAGCAATGGGGCTAAAATATTTAATAGATTAGGGTGGCACAAAAGGCAGATGAACCAATGGACCAGAGAAGGTGTGTCCTATTTTATTAGAGGTGTGGTTAAGAAAAGGATATAGCCCCTAAAGAGGCGTTTTCTCCCTGTTTGTACCTTGGAAGTCTGGAGACCGTTTTTCCCCAACGTGACTTAGATTACGTGTTGAACTGGGTTTCAGTTGAGCAACCTGGGTTGCAGCCTGCGTGCGTAGTTTTAGCTGCAGTCTGTATTCCCTCAAACCTGCCACGTTCTCTTCTCCCAAGCTAAGCCAGAGCATATAGTAAAGATGCTTCTGTGACTCCAGGCTTACTCTTCTGAAGTAAGTGTGCTGCTGAGGTTGGTTGCTGTTTTCGGTCTCCACTCTCCTGTAGGGCTGTGTAATGCAGTTTCTTGTGCTCTGCCTTATCTCTAGTTTTTCATTAGGCATTGTTCTTTCCCTTTTACATGTCACTTGGGAAAAGTGGTGAGTAGGAGGTACCTATTTGTGTTTTTATAATTTGACTTTTAAGAAAATATTGCAGTAGAGGATTTAAAATATAAGTCTAACTATATTCTTTATTAGCTTAACTTTCGCTGATGAGAGATTGAATCTCAGATTCATGTGTGTGCTTTCAGACATAATTGCTGTCAGTGGAAATTTCAAAGAACCAATTGAAAAATTACTTTTATTTATCGTGTATTAAGTCTTATAGAGTGCATTTTAATGTTTTTATATATTGTACTTTATAGCAAAATACGAAGATCTTTATGCATTCTCATATAATCCCAAACAAAATGATTCAGAACGACTACAGGGTTGGCAGCTCATTGGCCTTGCTGAGGAATATAAGAGGATGGGAGTGCCAAATTCAAACTGGCAGTTGTCTGATGCCAACCGGGAGTACAAGGTAATTTAGCAGTGTTTTGGGAAAATTCAGAAAATGTTAGTCTGAGGGGGAGTGCCAGAGCAGCAAGTTTTCTATGTATTGTAATGCACTGTTCTTGCACTTCATAAGTTTCAAAGTTTTTAAAGGTGAATTTTAACTTCCTGGTTTTTGAACTATGATAAAGTTGTCATGTTTTGATATTTGCAGATTTGTGAAACTTATCCCAGAGAACTGTATGTTCCCCAGACAGCAAGCAAACCAATAATTGTTGGTAGTTCCAAATTTCGGAGCAAGGGAAGATTCCCGGTTCTTTCTTACTATCATCAAGATAAGGAGGTAGGAACTTTCTCTTTTGATTTTTGTTAACCTAATTTAGCTCCTCTTTAGGTTTAAGAGCCCAGAATAATACTGACCTTACAGTGTCATTATTGTCAACTTTACAGTGTTACAGTGTGAACAGTGTTAGAATGTTTACAATGTTACAATGTTAACTTTACATTGTCATTATGATCATGTTCATAAGAATGTTCTGGCTTTTCGTATAATTACATTTTGAAAATTTTAAAACAAAACTACCCTGAAATGTAGAACTTTATATATTTATACTTGTTATCTTCCTTTCTCTTTCGTCCTTTCACTCGTGACTTGAAAATAATGGTTTAGGGAACAGATAACTTCTTCTCCCTTTTTTGTAGTTCTCTGTCCATTTTGCCTGTATATGGGGAAACCAGGTAGCTCAGCAAACCAACCATTGAGTGAAGGGAGAGAAACAAGGTCATTTTAGGGTCCCCTTTTAATAGTGAGTTCTTCAAATCATGAAGATTTTATGACATTAAAAGGTGGAGGAGGAGTCTTTATACTGAGGTGTTGTAATCACACGTTACAGTAAAATTTACTACAAAGTAAAACTTTGTAGCCTACTAACAGTAGACCAAGAGGTACTTCATATGCATGGCTTGATAACTTCATAATGTAGGCTCTGCTAAGCACGTGTGACTTTCAAATGGGGATACTGAGGTATATCTCATAGCGAAGAAGTTGAAGAGTTCAGTGCCATTTTTAATTTAGAGGCCTTAGTGATCTCTCTCCCCATCCCTCCCAAAAGGATTTAGTATATTCTCTCTCCTAATTGTCTGAAATTCTCAGTAATGTGCCTTAAAATGTCTTTTAAACTTCCACTTGGAAACTCTGATCTCAGTTTTAGGAGATTACTTTTTCATTGGTAATTTCCTTTCTTTTATTAGTTTTGTTTGTACTTTTTTCATAAAGCATGCTTAAGTAAATGTAAAAGAACTGAAATTATACTAGGCATATTACCAGATCATTTCATTCCTAATGAAACTAGGAATCAATGGCAAAAGACACAAAAATTTTTCAAATGTGTGGAATTAAACAATACTGTCTTGAATAACCAGTGGGTCATAGAAGAAGTCAAGGAGGAAGTTACACAGTTTCTAGAAGCAAACAATAATGTCAGTACAGCGTACCTGCCCATTACGTGGTAAAAGCTTGATCTGTAGTAATGAAAATGCAGGTGTGTAGAGTATTGTGCTTTTCTGTCTTATTTCATTTTTTGAATATTTTTAAATCACTAAGCCTGTGCTGCCTAAGTGAGATATATTCAGACTACCATATATGAAAGCAGCTCAGTAGGGTGCATGCAGGCTTCTGATACCCTGCTTTGTTTCCCCATCACCAGAGATTGTGAGATGGGCTGCAGTGTCTGGCACAGAATGTCTCCTTGGGAATGAGTTCACTTCATTGTGTCCCTCAGTATCTGAGCTGGGGGCGGTGGGGGGTGTGTGTCCTGTATTTGCATACTTAAATGTGAATACTCTTGCTCTTACTTTTATTATTAGTGTTGTTATTATTTACTCCAGCAGTGGTTTTGTAATATTGTGGCTGTCTTTAACAGCACATTCTGTTTCTGAGAACGCATTCTGCAGCTGGATTCTCTTTCTAAATTAAGTTTTTCATTAAATTGTGACAATTGGAAAAAAAAAGTCTTATGGGATGCAGTGAAAGCAGTCCTAAGAGGGAAGTTTATAGCTGTGAATGCCCACATTATAAAAACAAAGTGAACCTTAGTAAGTAACCTAATGAACCTCGAGGTCCTAGAAAAACAAGAGCAATCCAAATTTAAAGTTAGAACAGGAAAGGAAATTGCAAACATCAGAGCAGAAATTAATGAAATTGAGACTAAAAAAAAAAAAAACATACAGAGAATCAATGAATTGAAGAGCTGGTGATTGGAAACAAAATAGACAAACCCTTACCGGAAAAAGGAAAAGAAAGAAAGGATTAGTTAGGATCAGTTAGGATCAGTTCTGTATATGTGCTGCCGAAGCGAGCACTAGGATCAGTTCTGTGTTCATTCTTCTCTACCAGCAGGTAGAACCTGTAGCATTCGCTTCTCCCAAGTTAAGTGAGAGCATATGGTGAAGGTGTACTCCAGTAAATTGGGGAATCTTAAAGAAATGGGTGGGTTCCCGCGTACATATGCAGTACCGAGACTGAAACAAGAAGATTCAAAAATTCTGACTACTTCAGTAACAGCCAAGAAAAGTGAAGCAGTAATAAAAAACATAAACTGCTAACTACTATAAGAAAAGCTCAGGATGCAGTCACTGCTAAATTCTACAAGAACTGGGGCTCCAGTGGTGGCATTGTTTAGTGCACAGTACTTATAAATTCTACAAGAACTTCAGGAAAGGTCTAACACTAATACTCCTCTGACACTTTAATAACATTGAAAGGGAAAGAGGCCTCCCAGAGTCATTCCTGCAAGCTAGCATTACCCTGATTCTAAAACCAGAAAAAGACCCAAACATAGAAGAAAACTACAGGTCAGTCTCTTTAATCAAGAAACTCAAAAATCCTCAACAAGATACTGGCAAACAGAAGGCAACAAATCATCAACAAGATCAGACACCATGACCAAGTGGGCATCATCGCAGGGATGGCGGATTGGTTAAACATGTGCAAACTAGTAACTGTAATACACTGCAAAAACAGAAGTAAGGACAAAAACTGTGTGATTGTCTCCGTTGGTCACAAAAAAGTGTTTGACAAAATCCAACTTCCAGTCATTAAAAACTCTGAATAAATACAGAAGGACCTTATCTCAGTCTGATAAAAGCCTTGTATGTTAAATGGAGAGAAGCTGAAAGTTTTCCCTCTAAAATCTGGAGGAAAGCAGGAATGTCCACTATCACTGCTCCTGTTCAATAGAGAAGTAAGATTATTTGCAGATGATTTGATATCTACAGAGGAGACCTAAATAATTCCACCTAAAGACTCCTAGAATTAATAGCTAAATTCACTAGCATAGCAGGATACAAAGTCAGTGCACAGTCAGTCCTGTACATCAGTAACGAGCACACTGAGAAGGAACTTAGGAGAACAGTACCATTCACAGTGGCATCAAAAAACTAAATACTGGAGATTGAACCTAACCAAGGAAGTGAAAGACCTCTACAATGAAAATTACACGATGAAAAAGGAGGCGGAAAAGGACATCTGGAAATGGAATGATAACCTTATTCCTGGATTGGCAAGACCAATGGCCATATTTCCAAAATTGATACACAGTTTTAATGCAATCCCAATCAAAATATCAATTTCTGACAGAACTAGAAAATAGTCCTAAAATCTGTATGAAACAAAATGTGACCCAGCATACCAAAAGCAATCCTGGGCATCACAATCCTGGACTTGAAGTTATAGTATAAAGCTCCAATGATAAAAACAGCATAGTTTCAGTACAGAAGTAAGCATATGGATCGGTGGCACAGAATAGTGGATGTAGAAACACCTCCAGATGTACTCAGCTTTCTAATCTTCGACTATAGGACCAAAACATACACTGGAGGGAAGATAGCTTCTTTAATAAGTGGTGCCGGGAAAACTGGCTAACCACAGCAGAAAATGGAATCTAGACTCATCTCTCACCGTGTACTAACCTAAAATCAAAATGGATAAAAAGATCTAAATGTTAAAATGGAAGCAGTCTGCTGGAAGATAAAATAGGTAAAACTCTTGAACACAGTAGGCATAGGCAAGGACTTTCTGAACTGAACACCAGTTGTGCAAGAAATGAAACAAAAAAATCAATGAATTGGATCATACCTAACTGAATATCTCTGCACAGCAAAGGAAACAACAGAATGATGAGACAACAACAGAATGGGAAAAATATTTTGCCAGCTATTCATTACAAAGAGGACTAATGTCTAGGATATATAAAGAACTGAAAAAAAAAATTAGATCCCCTAAAGTAAAAGACTAATAAATGGGCAAGTAAAACAGATAGACACTCCTCAGAAGTATTTCAAATGGCTAAGAAATACATGAAAAAGTGTTCAACATCTCTGGATGTGTGTATCAGTCAGGGTTTACTAGAGAAACAAATATAACACAAGGCATACAAATGTGTAAGAAATTATAAGATTGGCTATGTCAGCCACAGAGTTGGATGAGGAAGCCTGCAGGGGTGTCAGTTCAAGGTCTGGAGCTCACTGCAGCGTTGCAGGTAAGTCTTTGTCAGGAGGCTTATGGGTCTGCTATGGAAGGCTGCCAAGTCTATGCCGAAGTCTGACAAGTCTGTGCTGGAAGGCTGAAGGATCCAAGGTAGAAGCCAAAGAGTCTGTGCTGGAAGCCAGGAGAGTACAAACTGGAGGTGAAGACTGCAGCTCCTCCAAAGAACACAAGCTTGCCTGTCCTTCCTCATTTCCCTTCTATATTGTCCAGGGATGAGCCACCCTAGGGCGGGTCCTCTACACCCTGGGGTGCAGACAGCTGTCCTGGGGCAGGTCCTCTACACCCTAGGATGGAGAATTACCTAGCCAATTTAGTTAAGCTTTTAAACTTCTCAAATTGACAAAATCAAGCACTGTACCATGAGAGAAATGCACATGAAAAGAACACTGAGATTTACCTTGCTCCAGAAAGAATGGCTATGGTCAAAAAAATCAAATAATAAGTACTCATGAGGCCACAGGGAAAAAGGAATCTTCTGTATTATTCTTGGGAATGTAAACTACAACTACTGTGGAATTCAGTATGGAGATTCCTCAGACAAGTAAAAACAGAAATTCCATTTAACCAAGCCATTCCCCTACTAGGTATCTTCCACAAGAGGTGAAGACATACTACAGTGATACATGCATACCCATGTTTTTAGCAGCACAACTCATAATAGCTGGTTGGAAGCAGACTATATGCCCATCAACCAATGAATTGATAAAGAAAATTTGTTTATATACATAAAGAAGGATAAACTTGAGTCATTTTAAGAAAATAGGTTACCTTCAGACCATAATGTTAAGTGAAATGGAATCATACATACAAGCTGTGATATTGCATGGTTTCTCTTATGTGGGAATTCCAAGGCATAAATACTATAATTAAAAAAGCAAAACAAAACATAGATAATAGCCAGTAGGCTACTAGGTCTTTTGCCAAACAGAAAGGGACCAAGAGGGGGATGGAGGAGGGAAGGGAGGGTTGGGGTAAGTAAAAGAATTGAAATATGTTATATACTTTTACCAAGTCCCCATGAGGACTGTGATCATTATGTAATGTGACCATGTACCAATAAAAAAAATGAGAATAAAAAAGAATTTTGAAAAATCCTTTTATTAGTTGACAATTGAGCTTCCTAGCATAAACATCCCATTTTTGTGGTTTCTGTCCTGCTTTCCTTCTGTTTTTTGAAAGATCCTTAGCTTATCTCCAATCTACCTCTTTAATTCTTTTTGTAACAACATTTTTAATATTCATGAGCCTTTTCCTATTTTTTTAATTTTTTAGGAGGCTTTCTGTTGTTGGATGTGGTATCTTAGGTCTCTGAGGAGAAGTTTTTTTTAATAAGAAGTCTTGTGCTCCCCACATAACTTAAATTTTCCCCTCAGGGTTTCTTTCCTTTTTTTGTCTCTCCTTTCTTTGAAATACTTGGTTTTTGGAAGGCCTCTCATATTTGAGCTATTGAGAAGTTTGCGTGCATGCGCTGTCTTTGATTTCTTTCTGTTATGTGAGTTGGTGTCTGTGTTAGGCTTCTGTTGCTATGACAGAATACCTGAGAGTATCAGCTTAAAAGGTTTATTTTAACTTGTGATTTCAGAGGTTTCAGCCCATGGCTGCATTACTTTTAGGCCTGTGGCCAGGCAGAGCCGTCATGGCAGGAGAGCATGGTGGGGAGAAAGGTCTGATTTCATGGCAGCTGGGAAGCAGAGAGAGAGGGGCAAGGGGTGAGGGCAAAGTGTACTCTCCCAGGGCTGCTCCCAGTGACCTTCCTGCACTGTGACTCCTCGCCCTGGCGTTTCCGCAGTGCCATCTAATTATGCGTCTGTGAGTGGATTAATGCACTGATGAGGCTACAGCCTCAGGATCCAGTTGTCTTCCACCTCTGAACACTGCTGCGTCAGGGACCAAGCCTTCGCTACATGAGTGTTTACCTGCATTCCAGATCCAAACTATAACAGTTTCCTTAAAGAGGGATCTTGTGACTTCTTGCCAGTATATATAATAGACTGGCTGTGACCCGAGCAGGTGAAGAGGGGTGGTTGGCTCTCCTGTTTTGCTATGTAAACTGTATTTAATCCGCTTGGGTTTTTGAGGGGGTCAGCGGGGTGTGTGGCTTCCTTCTTCTACAGCTGTACCAGCTGTTCAGCGTCTCGGGGTTAACCTTCATAGAGTAAGCTTCGTCTTCAGAGCAGAGGAAAATCTGGAAACATTAACTTGTATTTTCCCAAAACTAAGACCAGGTCTTACATTTTTGCTGCAAAAGATGCAGTAGGGCTTATTTTCAGGGAATGTCCTATTCATGTACAATTCACATTTATTTATGTGCAAAAATCTACATTTATTCAAATATAGTCATGTCGTCTTCTGGAACACCATCCCAAATCCTGAATTCTGGCCAGAATGTCCTGCGACTCCTTTTCCTGCAGAAGCGTGGGCCCCAACTGCTCACGCCCGGCGCTAGAGCTCTCCTTCACCGCGCGCTCCTTGTCCGTGTGGGGGTCAAGCGCCCTGGCAACGCAGAGGCGGTGATTTCAGCCCGTGAACTCTCACCCACGTCACGGCATTGGAGACTCAGGAGACAGGAGTGGCAACAAAAATGATGACAGTTAAAAGTGATGGTCCTCACAAAAGCCATGAAGAATGGCAGGCAGCAAAACTCCGAAACTGTTTCTTTATTTCACACAAGGGTGTTAAATATGACTGCTACAGCACACAGTGTACGGAATTATGAAGATTCACATTAGACGTGTCTGTTCATTATCAAGTGGGCATATTATTTATGCATTGTGTCTATACTCTGGTCATTTAGCAATAAATCTCCCGTTTACCTGTTTGCATAGATGTTCGTCATCCAAAGGTGCCTGCTTGGGTATTTCCAAATACTTAATTATAAATTATGTTATTTAAGTATTAATGTCTAATATTTATATTTAGTTATATATTAATATTACTGTATAATTGAGTATGTCCAACATGTGTTGCAGTGACTGAATGCATCCCTCTTAATGGGGGCTTATTTTGGGGGTATGAGGCTGTGGTGGATGGACAACTGATGGTCAGCTTGTAACACCCAGCTGAACTGAACCAACGTGGTGCTGGGTGTGGGAGGCCCACCCGAGGGTTGCTGCCGGCAGCATAAGAGGCAGAACTGGAGGGGAAGAAGTTTAGAAGCTGTTGGGAGCTGTTGAAAGCTGTAGGAAGCTGTTGATTTTCCTGGAGGAGTTTGTCATGCTGGCGTTACTGACAGGAACACGCGGTTCACTTTGAGGGAGCTCTGGTCCTCACTTTGAGCATGGCTTCCTGGCTCCAGAGAGGAAGGTGGTGCACTGTTCATTCTCCTGGAGAAGCTTGTTGCGCTGGCTTTCCTGATAGAGAGTTGGCTGTTCTCATCCGGAGGAGCTTGGAACCTCACTGTCACTGAGGGTGGTGGTGGTACCTTTTGGAAGAGCTCTGGTTCTTACTTTGAGCGTCGCTTCCTGGCTCCAGTGCAAGTCCCTCAGCCTGCTAGCTCAGATCCTTCATCCTGCTGACACAGACTTCGTAGCTTCCACCACTGACCTTTGGGCCTTTTCAGTGCAGATCCATGAAACAGGCCTGCATGAGACATTGTTGTGGGCTGTAGGCCTCCAGTTGGACTCGTGGGAGGCATTGTGATGGGCACTAGGTCTTCAGCTGGACTCATGCAGGACATTGCCATGGGATCCAGGCCCTCAGCTGGATTCTTTGATCTATAGTGCGTGGACAGGTTTCCTTCACTCTCTTTGTATAACTCTTTGGGCTACTGTTACAAAATAATCTTGTAATTAAGTGTCTTTTGTTGTGTTATTCCCCTTGCAAAACCCAAACCACAACAGGGTCTTAATGAGTACCCTGAAAAATCATGGTAGGGCAGGGTGTATTTTCTAGTTAGGTCTTATTTTGGTAGAAATATGGTAGTCCTTATGTAGGCATTCAGCCTGTCTTTGGGTTTTTAGTTATACTCCTCAGTCTTTCAGAGGTACAAGCTCCTGAGCCTTCTTGGCATTTTGCTGTTTCGAATATCTGCTCATTGACTTAAGGGCACTGGAAACTTTTTTTTTTTTTTTCCGCCCTGTACATCAGTTATCACTTGCCAATCTGTTACTATCTCCTGAAGTTTTATTGACATCTGTTGTCTCCTTTTCCATTCTTTTTGTCCTTTTGGCTTTATGCATCTTAAGTGTGTTTGTGAGAACTTTTCACTGGAATTTGGAACAAGAACCAGAGGTGAAATGTAGATACTTAAACAGAAGTCTCTAATCTGCTTTTCAAAACTTAAGTCATAAGGAAGTTACTTGATTATGGCCCGTTTGTATACATTGTTGATTAGAAAGCTAGGCAGAAAATAGATATTCAGTGACCAACCTACAGAAATAAGAAATTAGGTGTGAAAAGAATTTAATAAAACATTTCCTTCTGCTATTGTAAATTTTCATGGTTTTTTTATTTGTGAATTTAAAATGCGCAAAATGTTTGTTTATGTTTATTTTTTTTCCTCTTAGTGAAATTCTATTTGGAATGTTTGGGTACATGTCAAGTTAGGGCATAGATGCTATTAAAGAAATGTGTGTGAGTCTAAATCTTTTTAGTCATTTTTAGGACTTTAAACATTTAAAATACCTAATTTAGCTGTTTGCTACTTATAGATATTCTTGTCCTCTTAGAATGACGGTATTTTAATTCAGTTTTGAATTGAAGCTTGTTTTTTCCCATTTTAAGTCTCATTTTATATAAAGCTTGTGATTTCTATTTAGAAATCTGAAAGCCTTTGGAAAGTACAAGGGCAAATATTACTAATTTTGAAAGTCCTGCTCTACATAAACTGTTTTTTTATTACTTTTGAAAGTATCCCATAATCCAAGTAGAGCACAAGATGTAAGTATCTTAGTGTAGGTTAATTGAGAGAATTGACCAAATGCTGCTTCTTAAAAATCATAAGTGTTTTTTGAGGAGGAATGGATAGTACTAGGAATTGAACCAGAGACTTACACTGAACTACATCCCCACCTCTCACCCCTGTGTTTTTAAAGTTTGAGACAGGGTGTTAAATTGCCCAGAATGAGCTCAAACTCAAAGTGCTGGGATTACAGGGATTAACCACCAGACCCAGCTCTTAAGGTTGTTTTGTTTTTTGTTTTTTTCTCATCAGACTAGTTAAGGAGGCATTTAGTTTTCTTAGGAGACAAGAATATTGGGAAAACTTAGGAAGCAACAGGATACTGAAATAATGTTTAATTCAAATAGGATTTCAGAGTATTCTAATTGTCTTCCTAACTTTTAAAATGATTGCGTGCTTGATTATTTTTTGTAATCTATTTTCTGTATTTTTAAAATCAGGCTGCCATTTGTCGATGTAGTCAGCCACTGTCAGGATTCAGTGCCAGGTGCCTGGAGGATGAGCATTTGCTTCAAGCCATTAGTAAGGCCAACCCAGCCAATCGCTACATGTACGTTGTGGACACCAGGCCCAAAGTAGGTATCCTGAATACACTAGATTCTATTGTCTTTAATTAATAAGTTTTCTCATATTTAAAATGTCTGAATTCTGGTTTTAAATTAATCATGGCTAATCATACAAAAGAAATACTCTTTAAAGTGCACCAACTTAGAAGACCAGTCTCTGACCCAGGTGGTGATTTATGTCTTCTGATGTATACAGTGATGCCCTGGTCATGAACTTAATTCTTCGCACGATTCTGATTGTAAACTGAATTGTTCTTGAACTGAATCAAATTCATTGGTTGGGTTCCGTGTTGATGGGGAAATTTGATTCAGTTTGCAATCAGAATCCTGGAAAGAGTTAAGTTCTTGAGCCAAGGTAACACTGTTCATTAGAAAAGCTGTTGGAATTCTTGATGGTGTATTAAAAGTCTTACGTTATTGTGAAGAAATATCTAATATATGTATTATGAATAGAAATTCTTAATTTTTTCTTACTATTTATAAAGTTTTTAATTGACCACTTCGTGTTAAAATAATGGATGTTAATTTGAAATAGAAAGGAAAGATAATGCCTTAATTTAGGAAACTTGAACTAGAGAATTAAAGTGAGCAAGAAATTGTTTTATTAGGTATTTATAGTCTAAAGCTTAATATTCATGGAGACAAGAATCAGTATCCTGTTTTCTTTTTTTGAGCAAAGTTAAACAGCCAATTCATATAGGACCCTGAAATTAACATAGTTAAAATATTCAATGGTAATAGCTAACTTTGCTTTTAATTTTTATTGTAGCATCGCATGCAGAGCTGGTGGGCTACACAAAAGGACATTGGCAGAATTATAGTGAGGATTTCTTCAAAAATCTGGAATGATGAGAAAATAAGAGAAAGCGATGAGGAAAAGCGAGTGAGCAATACAGAACACAGCAATTTTAGGCAGCTTTGTGGAGGGAGTGGTCGCTGCTTTAGAGTAATTCTTACCATTCCTCAGCCTCCCAGAGATGATGGAGAGTACAGTTAGATTAATTTGAGTAACTAGGAAGTATTAAAAATAATTGTTACTATTTTTTGTTAAAAATAGGAGACTTTCTTAGGAGTTCATAGTATGCCGTGGCCCCTGTTTCTTTGTATAATCTGGGTTGATTAGTTGGCTAGAGCTCTTGTTTTAGGTAATATCAGAAATAAAAGGTGATTATAATATGAGACTTTTTGAAGGTGAGACCCGATTGATCTGTGTCTCAAGGCCTATTATCTTTTATGTATACAGTTCTCTTTTTTTTTTTTTTTGATACTGGGAATTGAACGCAGGACCTCATTCTTGCCAGGCAGGCGCTGCACCACTGAGCTGTATCTCCGGCTCCGATACAGTTGTCTTCTAACAGAAGGATACATCCTTCTTTGATTGCTTTTCTACTTAAACTTAAAAGTCAAATAGTAGTAATAATGGGGAAGACTTTCTGATATCTAACCCTTAATCTTAGTTTAATTCTCGTAGGTGCTGAGTGACCAGTGACTTAGTAGATACAGTTTAACTGTACTTGCTGCCAGCCTGTGCTCTCAGTCCACTGAAGCAGAAGGTAGCTTCATCCAAAATCGCTGCAGAAGAATATCTAGTAAATTGTAGTAACGTGCTCTCTGAAATCCTAGTCTGAGAGGAGTAAGCACGTCAGATCCTAAATTAATCTCTGATAAGATTTGATGTGTAAGCCAGGATGATAGGCCCATGGACAGTCTGTTTTTCCCTTGCAGACCAGCTTATTTAGGGCCCAATGCGTGAAGATAGATAGCAGGTTATATGCTGTGTTAAATGGGTTGAGGGCCTTCAGTAGTTTCTAACATGGAGGACTTCAGGTAATTGGAAGCATGTTTCAGATTTGAGTTTTAGGGTTTCTGTGGCTTCTGAGTGATCAGGTGCTCCAGGTTTGTTCTGAAGTGAATCTTATAGTTTCATTCTAGAAGGGAACATTTCTGGTGCTATGCATGGTGGTATATGCCTGTAAACCCAGCACTCTGAAGGCTGAGGCAGGAGGATCACTGTGAGTTTGAGGCCAGCCTGAACTACATAGCAAGACCCTGTCTCAAAAAAACAAAAAGAAAAAAAGCTCTGCTCACTTCTGAATCATTTAGGATTCAGATAGGAAATACTTCTTTTTAATTTTGAAATATGATACTATCAGCATATGGGAAATGGATTTGCTTCCTGAATCTGTGGGATCTTCCTATCTAGAGCCTTCTTTTATAACAATTAGTTTGTTACTTATTAGTATCACTTACTGTTGTAACGTGACATCTTTGCTTATTAAAAACAACAGCTTGTTCAGGTTTGATGAGTTCTTTTACATTCTCTCGTAGCTAAAATGTAGTATACTTAGTGTTTTCATAAAATTTTAGTAAGTTAAAAGTAAAAGTACTTTGATTCTTAATTTCCAAAATTTTTAATTTCAGCTGAATGCTATGGCCAACAGAGCAGCGGGAAAAGGTTATGAAAATGAAGACAATTATTCTAATATTAGATTTCAGTTTGTTGGAATAGAAAATATTCATGTCATGAGGTCCAGCCTTCAGAAATTATTAGAAGGTATGATTTTGCTTACGTTTTAGGCAGCTTTACCTGATGGAAACATAATGCTAGTCACATATAGTTTAAAAATTTCTGGTAGTTGCATTTTAAAAAGTAAAAGCATATAGTAAAAAAATTGGTATTGAGATATTTTCATCAAATCCTAGAAATCAGTTGTGTATTTTATACTTATAACACATCTCACTTTGGCCTAGCCACATTGCAAGTGTTCAGTAGCCACCTTTAGGTGGCAGTTACTGTATTAGTACTACTGTAATGGTTTTACAAAAAATTATGGCTGTTAGATAGAGATTATAAAGTAGTCAATGCATTGAAGATTACCTTAGGATACTCTCTTATTTAACTATTAAGGTACTCTTTCAGTCATAATATAAAATTTTAAAATATGACTTTTTAACACTTGTCCTAGAGTATTTAGAGAGATGGTAGCATTTCTCCCACCAAGAATGGCAGGAAAATGCATCCACAAATCGATTATTCTGCTTCTATAGTAGCATCTTTTCCTATATAAAAAGTCTGGCGTGTTCTGTCATCCTTTTTCTCAGTTCACTCATCATGATAGAGACCGAAAAGGAGGGGTGGAAAGTAGCCCCCTTCTGATTGAAAATTCTCTTCCTTTTTTTCAGTCAATGGCACCAAGGGGCTGTGTGTTAATGATTTCTACTCTGGCCTGGAGAGCGCTGGCTGGCTTCGCCATATCAAGGCTGTCATGGATGCTGCGATCTTCCTAGCTAAGGTAGTGCTCGCTCATATTTGCTTTGGGGTTTTTCATGGTTGGCAAGGACCCCCCGCATCCTTCTGGGTGCTGGTACCCATTCTGTTCAGGTGACCTTTATTACCCTGTACCTCTTTGATAAGATTTACTTTAATTTGATTCTTAAAAATACATAGCAGTAATCACAATATTATATGCCTATACGAATATACCAAAACAAATCTTGTTTTTATTACTAATGTGCACCAGTTAAAAAAGTGCTCAGCGTCTTTAATCATCAGGGAAATGCAAATTAAAACTACAATGAGATAATCGTCTCATCCGTTAGAATTCCTATTACCAAAAAGACAAAAAACAACACATGGTGGTGAGAATAGGGAGAAAAGAGAACTGAGTCTCGTATGATGTTGTTGAGGATGTTGATTAGCACAACTTTTATAGGAAATAGTATAAAAGTTCCTCAAAAAATAAAAAGTAGAAATATTAGATGATCCAGCTGTACTGCCACTGGGTATATATATCCAAAAAATACTATAAGTGAAATTAGTGTCTCAGAGATACGTCTGTACTGGAATGTTTATTGAGGTATTATTATTCACAATAGCTAGGATTCAGAATCAGCTAGGGGACTGGTGATTTTAAGTCTTCTCTTAAGGTGATACTGTATATAAAAATCTAAACACAAAACCTTTTCCTATATCAGTATAGGAAAATCTTTTCCTTTATCAGTGGATGAACGGATAAAGAGAATGTGGTATGTATACATTGTACAAGTTGTGCAACATAAAAATGAATAAAACTTTGTCATTTGCAACAACATGGATAGAACTGGGGAAGACTGTTAAATAAAATAAGGCACAGAAAAACGTAGAAGCTAAAGAATTGGTTTTGTAGAAGTAAGAATAGAATAGAGGTTCTGAGGGTCTGGGAAGGGTGAAAAGAAAAGTTATGGAGAGAAGATGGTAAGTGCAGAAGTATAACTGGATAGGAGGAAGGTCCAGTATTGCATAGTACTATAGAGTAACCATGGTTGACAACTATTAACTGCATGTTTCAGAATGGCTCATAGAATTATGAATGTTCCCAACTTGAAGTAATGAGTGCTTAAAGTGACGTATATGCCAGTTACCTTGAGTTGATCACGTTTTTTACATGTGTTTAAATTCCACATTGTACTTCATAAGTACGTATGATTATTATCCATCAGTTAGAAATTAAAAATCTATTTTAAAAAATTCCTGGGGCAATTGGACTATTTTCACATTTTTCTTGGCAAAAACAAAAACACTGGTCTCACTCTAAGAAAAAGATACTTGTGCATTTAATGTAGAAACTTAGAAATGCCCAAATATTTTGAAACATTTTTAACTTTTTTTTTTTTTTTTTGGTACTGGGAATTGAACTCAGCACCTTGTGCTTGCCAGGCAGACACATATGCCACTGAGCTCTATCCCTGGCCCAACATTTTTAACTTTATTTTTGTTTGTTTGCTTTTTTGTGGCTTTTAAGTTATGCTATCATTGCAGGCATAACTCTTTATAGTGTAATTCTTGCTATTGGGGTTGTAAGATAAATAGACTCATTGGTTTGTATCAAATTTGTCCTAGAATCTAAGTGTGTGATCTTTCTTCTCAGGCAATAACGGTTGAAAGTGCAAGTGTCCTGGTACATTGCTCGGATGGGTGGGATAGGACCTCCCAGGTTTGTTCGCTTGGTTCGCTTTTGCTGGATTCGTATTACAGGACAATCAAAGGATTCATGGTAAGGGTTTATTTAAGTCAACCGGTGGCTCTGAAATGCAGGTGATTTTGTCCTCCCAGGGGACCTTGCAATGTTAAGAGACAGTGGCACAGTGGCATATAGCTGGTAGAGGCCAGGAATGTGGCTGCACATCCTAGTGACACCATAAAAAGGCACAAGTACTTAAAAATTACATCCTAGAAGGAACTTTTATTTAAAACACCTTCATTTGCTAAGTGTATAATATGTTAAGCATGTTTTATATGAAGATTAAGTCTTCATATAAAATCTTTTCTAGTTGAAAGATTTTCCACTTTCGGTTTGGTTTTTTTCCTGTACCAGGAATTGAACTCACGATCTTGTGCTTGCCAGGCAGGTGCTGTGCCGCTGAGCTGAATCCCCACCCCTGATTTTCCACTTTTGGAAGATAAAGTCCTGGCTTCTGTTTTTTATTTATTTTTTCACTCTATGATCAGATTAATTTTCACATTTTACATTTTAGCTCTTGGTAAATAAATGAAGGCATATAGGAAAAGGTTTTGTGTTTAGATTTTTATATACAGTATCACCTTAAGAGAAGACTTAAAATCACCAGTCCCCATGTAGCACATTTATTTATTTATTTATTTATTTACTTACTTTTTTTTTGGTATGAGAAATAGAACCTTGCGCTTGCCAGGCAAGCGCTGTGCCGCTGAGCTATATCCCTGGCCCTTAGCACTTTTATTTTGTGCTACTATTGAATCTGAGACAGGGTAAATAAGAGGTTAGAAAGTTATAAGAATATAATGCTAGTAAGAAAATGATGTTCCATTTACACCCTTTCCTCCTTTTTTTTGTGGTGCTGCGAGCTGAAGGTACAATTTACCTGGAGATTGTAAGATAGTATTTTCTTTACCGTCTGTGCCAGGCCTCCAAATGAAGTCAAATAGTAATTGACCAGGGGCATTGAGAGCTTCCTAGGCAGCAGAAACACCCTAAATTGAGCCTCTTTAGGTAACTGCAGGTGACGTGGTGGGTGGGAGTCCGGGCGAGTGTGAGAAGGGGCTGGTGCAGAGGCGTGTAGTGGGCTAAGGGCCTGAGGAAAAAAGGCGGGGATTGGACCTCCCCCTCTTTGGGTGATGAGAGCCATTAAAAAGCTTTATAAAGAGGAAATAGTAACTTGATAGCTGCTTTTAAAAACATAAACGAAAGAGCAAGATGAAAGATAATAGGAGACAAGGAGGTAGATCTGCTCTTCTGCAAAAAGGACAGGGACCGGGGCTGGGGATTTAGCTCAGCGGCAAAGCGCCTGCCTGGCAAGCGCAAGGTCGTGAGTTCGGTTCCTGGTACCTGAGAAAAACCAAAAAAAAAAAAAAAAAAAAAAAAAAGGACAGGGACCAAGAAGGGGGAAGGAGATGCAAAAGGAATTAGGGCGTGTTACGTACTTGTAGCAACTCCCATGGCAAATATAATCGTTGTGCATTGCAAACATGTACTAATGAAAATACGAGTGAGTGAGAGTGGGTTACAGAGGGGTTGTGGGCTAGAGGAGAGGGTCCTCCTCCGGGAGGATTCCCAGGTTCCTGAATCGCTTTCCCAGACGCACAGCACTGCTTTCCTGCTCTGCACTCACCTAAGCCGAGGAACGGGTTTCTTGAGAAAGATGCAAGTTAGGATGTAGACATCAGTGTGTGGAAGAATGTAGAGCACCCAGAATCAAATGTGCAGCTCCAGCTGAAGGTCGCTAGCCCAAGGTCCCGTGGGGTAGAGGTAGCGAAGCCAGGGTTTATGCCTGCGCGTGCACCCAGACGCTGCATCCCCGACCATCAGGACATGTGGCGTTTTTCCCACCTTGCAAAAAGTCAAGACAAAACCAGAGAAGGTCAAGCTGATCATCTTGACACGAGCAAAACAATGTGTTCATTTAATGAAATTAAAGGTGTATTAAGTACTAAGGAGATATATTTTGCTTAGATTTGAGAACATTAGAGATTCATTATTTCAGTGGAGTTGATCAGTAGAGAAGCTGTGACAGAGATAAAGAGAGTCCATTCATTGACGGTCGGATTTCAACACAGACTCGTTGCCATTGGTATTTTTATCGCTGATTTTTTTTTCCTTGAAAAAGTTCTACATAAGTGTTGTACATATATCCAAAGGTTAAAGATGTTCAGTCTTCGGAGTTAATTATTGTTAGCATTTTAGTTTACGTTTTCCTAGCATTTTATGTGTCATATTTGTACAGGCAAAATAAGTGCGATCCTGCTTTGTGACATGCACGTTTCCCTTACAGAGTAGTATAACTACTATTTTTAAGCTAATAGAATTGAATCCATTCTAATAAAATGTTGAAAAGTGAGTTTTACTTTTTTCCATTAAGGTTTTAATAGAAAAAGATTGGATCTCATTTGGACATAAATTTTCAGAGAGGTGAGTGTCAATTATACATTTATGATTTTAATAAAATTAGAGTACCACAATGTTTCTATTCTTTATGAACTCACATGACTTGGGAGAGATCTGTGCTGTGGTTTTGCACTGTATTGTGTATGAGATTTAATATTCTGTCATGTCTTTCAGTTCTAATACCTTTGTTAAATTTTGAGGCTATTTATTACCTTTCTTTTTTCTGTATTGTAATATCTAGAAGGCAATAGATCTTTTAAAATTACAGTTGCAAAACTCATAGCTGTACATGGCTGCAATAAAAAAGAAATGCTAGTTTGGTTTTTTTGAGTGCAGATGTAACTGTTCAGTATTATTTTCTGTACATATGTTTAAGTTTGTCATTACCCACACCATGGACTTCTTTCAGGGCATTTTTTTAAAGCTTGTGCTTTCTGGGGGTTAGGTGTGGCCATTTGGATGGTGACCCAAAGGAAGTCTCTCCAGTGTTCACTCAGTTCTTGGAATGTGTGTGGCATTTGACGGAACAGTTTCCACAAGCCTTTGAATTCAGTGAAGCGTTTCTTCTTCAGATCCATGAACATATTCATTCATGCCAGTTCGGAAACTTCATTGGAAATTGTCAGAAGGAAAGAGAAGAACTCAAGTAAGATGCTTTGATGAAAATGGGTTCTCCCTCCCCCTTAGAGCTGAAGCCCTGCAGCCGTAAATCATGGTTGACTTAATAAGATGTCTGAACAATATGAAGTAGAATTGAATTTATTGTAGGTCTCGTTGTCTGTATTTCTGAAGCTAAGTACCCTTCTGATATACCCTACCCTCTCCGGGGACTAGTAAAAACATGTTTTAAATGTATTTTGAAGAAAAATGCATGTAGCATAAGTGCGCAGCTCCATAAATCTTACCACACTCACACCTGTGTAACCAGCATCCAGAACAAGAAACATTGCCAGCAACCTGAAACTTCCTCATGTTCCTTTTCAGGGTCAATACTTTCAGATTTAATTTCAACACAGAGAAAGCTTTGTATTGTTTTGTTTCCTAGAAAGCACTGATCACTATTTTTGAAGTGTCCGTTTGTTTCAAGGTGAGGTGGAGCCTCACAGCCCTTCTCATATTCCTGAAGAGCCCTTTGGGGAACGTAAGTGCACGGATGTTGGCTGTGGTGTGGTTGCACGGAGACCCTGATTCACCTGTTCTTTCCTAACCAGTCTCAGAGGGCAGGAGTTTTTAGCTAAATTTTGATGCAGGAAACATCTGGGGAGAGACTGAAAGGTGCTTTATTTTAGGTTTGGCTTCTGAATTTTAGCTTTCTTACAGTAGCAGTAAAGAGCAGTTTAAGATTCCTGACCATCCAAATGAAGTAATAGAGTAGCTAAATCTTGCCGTAGTTTGGAGACAGCCGTGCACTCATACTCCTGATGGAGTCAGTGGCAGAACTGAGAGCACCTGGAGAATTCTGAAGGGAAGGGAAGGCGACAGAAATGAGTAGAGTATGGCAGAGGCAGACAGGTCAAAACATGCCAAGCCTTTAGCTTTGTGCTACAGTCATGCGCGGTAGTTTATCTTGACTTGGTGCAGGCAGCTTTTCTTCAAGTTTCCTGGAGCCATTTTAGGGAAAACTATTTTTTTCAGTTAGTGCCAGAAGGCCTCAAAAGTAGGAGTGGATATTTCCCAGCAGTTCTTATCTAAGGGCACACCTCTGCCGAGTCATGGAAAAGGAGATTGTCCACCTTTCCCTGGCTTCCGGTCTGTGGTGTTCACGTGGGCTGTACCCTCCGCCACCGCCTGCCTTTCCCGCCAGGCCAGGCTCGCAGTGCAACTGGCATCTGCGCCTCTTACATAAATGCCTTGATTTTTCCTGTTTCCCTTTAAATTTTCCCAATTTCTGCTTCATATGTAAACGTGGTCCTGCCTGTGATACTTGTCACCACAGCCCAGACAGGAGCGAAGAGATTAGCGAGCAGAGCTACTTTTGTATGTGGCTTTACATTTGTATGTGTGGTGATTTTGGATAGGTGAAATAGAGGCCCAAAATTTTGAAATCGGGTGAATTGAGAGGAATCCCTTAAGTATACAGTTGAAGGACAAATGGCCTACCTGTGCTGTGTTCAAGAGACGGGCTTTATTGCATCTTATGAATGGAAAAGGAAAAAACAATACAAGGACAAGAGGTTAGACTGAATGCAGAAAAACTGAAACCTAACCTACTTTGGAAACAATTGCCCGGTTTATAAAAATGAGTGTTAGCGGAATACTTTGCATCTCTGTGAAAGATCAGTATGTTTTTCTTTATCACATTAAGGTTGAAGGAGAAGACTTACTCCCTGTGGCCATTTCTTTTGGATAACCAGAAGAAATACTTGAATCCTCTCTACAGTCCCAAATCTCAGAGCTTTACAGTTTTGGAGCCAAATACAGTATCTTTCAATTTTAAGTAAGTTGGTATCGTTAAAATATTTGTATCTTATCCTTCTCAAACTCAGTCTAAAAGTTAATTATTAGCAAGTTGTGCTGATGCAAGCCTGTAATCCTAGCACTCTGGGAGGATGAGGCAGGAGGACTGCAGATTCAAGCCCAGCCTGGACAACTTAGCAACTTAGTAAAACCCTGTCTCAAAATTAAAGAGTAGGATAGGGATATAGCTCAGTACACAGGCGGGGGGTTCAATATCTAGTACTGTAGAAAGAAAACCTTCTCAATTTAATTGTACATATTTGTGGGTACAGCATAATTCAATACATGCATAATATAATGACAAAATGAGAGTAGTTAATGTTTATGTCTCCAAATTTTAAAAAACGTACTAACACAATTTCATGTATTTATGAGACATAATGTGATACTTCAGTCAGTACCTGTAAACAGTGTGTGCCGATCAAATCAGTATTTAACACTCTAGCCTCTTATCATTATGTGTCTGAAGCCTTTGAGCTCCTGTCTGGTGATTAATAAAATATAGAAAGGTTTTGCGAACCGTAGACTCCCACTGTACTGTAGAACACTAGGGCTTATTGCGTGTGTCTGTGTTCTGGTAAAACCTTTTATTTTGTCACACAGGTTTTGGAGAAACATGTACCACCAATTTGATCGAACGTTGCACCCTAGGCAGTCTGTATTCAATATAATTATGAATATGAATGAGCAAAATAAACAATTAGAGGAAGACCTTAAAGACCTAGAATCTGTAAGTATTCTGAAGCATCTATTGCAATATATTTGGAAGTTTAATTTTCGGTATTTGTTTTCAGTTTTGCATTTCTTTGGTGACAGAGTCGAATGGTTCTTCGTATTTGTTGGTTTCCTTCTCTGTGAATGTGCTGTTCATACTTGCACTGATTTTCCTTTGGTTCCTTTGCCTCCTTCCTGCCGATGTGTGGAGTAGTGTGTTCCATCCTGTAACTCCCTGTCAGTGAAGCAGATTGCACATAGCGTTGTCCAGCCTGTTCTCTTTTCCACTTTATTTATGGTATGTTTTATGCAGAAGTTTTGAATTTTCATGGTATGTTTTATTTTGTGTGTGTCTTAAGATCCCTCTCCACCCGAAGACTTTGCTATAGCCTTTTCTTTGCTGTCATATCTAACCGAAAAGGATCAGTAAGTCTGTAACTATATTTTAAAAGTCCCAGGGAGATGTTTTAGCCCAGTAAGACTGTCTTGTCTGCTCCTCAGACGAATGCCCCCTGTCACCTCTTAGGTAAGGAAGTAGTGACTGTGTGAGTGACTTGTAGAAGGAGATGTTAAAAGAAAGGCAAGCCCAAGGTACGGGTAGTGCAGATGGCTATCTGGAGATCAGCCAGAGGGTTTCTAAGGCATGGTATTCTGCCAGAGGACACTTAAAATACTGTGTTGTATAAAAAGGAAGTTCTGTTTTGTTTTAAAGCCTATTATGTTCCCCTAATGAACCACTGTAGGAAAACCCTGTAAGAAAAGCTCTTCACAACCAGCAAGACCTTTAGCTAGATAAGTGGGATTATTATGAACATAGTTATGATTTCAGGGTGACTCAGATGTATTCTTTTCCTTCTAAAATGATTATTTATCATAATTTTTCTTGAATCAGATTTTATTGTTACATTTTAGATACACATAATGATCACATTCATCATAGAGAATTTGTACTGTACGTGCTATAACTTGTTTTTCTTTCCCCATTCCCCTACCCTCCCTTTAACCCTTCCTCCCCTCCCAATTTACAAAGCTTTGTTTTCCATGTCTTCCTTCTTTTCTCTCTCTCTTTTTTTTAACTTTTCCCTTCTTTCCTTTTCCCATTTCTCTTCTTTCCTTTCCCCACCCCCTCTTCCTGGGTTCCCTCCTATTCGAACATTTTCTTCCTGTTCCACAGTACCTATTATACATTGTGGTCCTTATTTACACTTTCAGTTTCTCACACCAGAGAAGCAATGCAGTGTTTGCATGTGTGCCCGATCTCGCTTAAGAGTATGGCCTCAAGGTCCAGCTGTTTTCCTAGAAGTGTCTCAAGCTTATCCTTCTTTATTGCAAAGTAGTACTCCATTGTGTAAAAAAAAAAAAATCACATCATCTTTATCCATTTGCCAGTTGATGGGCATTTGGGCTGTTTCCAAGATTTGGTTAATACAGACTGTGCCACTATAAACAGATATGCATATATTGCTGTGGTATGATGCTTTTAATTCTTTTGGGAAGATACCCAGGAGGGGAATGGCTTGGTCAAAATAGAACCTCTCGTCCTACTTTTTTGAGGAATTGCCTCACTGTTTTCCATAGTAGTTGCAGTAGTCTACAGTCCCACCACCAGTGGAGAAGGGTTCCTTTTTCCCCACAGCCCCGCCAGCATTTGTTGCTGGTTTTCTTGATGATAGCCATTCTTTCTTGGGTGAGGTAGAATTTGCATTTTTCCAATGACCAGTGATGTTGAACATTTTTCATGTATTTATTTGCTGTTTGTATTTCCTCATCTGAGAAGTGTGCATTCGTCTCAGATGCCCTTGTCATACATTTATAGGTCGTGTGTATCCTTTTCAAATGTGAAGGCCTAATGACCATTTGCAGTCAAGTCTGGCTGACTGGATTGTTTGATAAATATAAAATATAACTAAGCATTTTCTGCCACAAAAAATTGTAAACGATTAGGATTTTTACTTTAGGTACACGAGATTTTCTTAAGTTTAATCTTGTATCAGACGTGCAAAGAAAGGATGCTTTCTTTTCCTACCTAACAGATATATTGACCATGAAATATCTGTAGTAATTTTTTTTCAAATTTTTATTTGTTTTAGAAAATTAAACAGCACAGAAATAAGCAAACAGAAGACGCTCTTACCAAGGAATTGTTAAATTCAGTTCGTCCGGAATCACCTGCCCACAAAACCCCGCTGTGTCTTAAAGAGCAGACTTTGCTACCCGTGGATGACGCACTTCGAACTATAGAGGGCAGCAGCCCCACAGATAACCGATACAGTGACTACACAGAGGAGTTCTCCAAGTCGGAGCCTGCTGTGGTCAGCTTAGAGTACGGTGTGGCAAGGATGACTTGTTAGACGCTGAGCGTTTCTGGACTTGACTGTTGGGTGGAAATGATTGTGAGAACGGTTGGTGCCCGTGACCGAGAAGGACTTGTCTAATGATAATCTTGGGTTTCACAGTAGGTGAACAGTTGAAGAGGGCTAACAGGTACTCTTGTGAGAGAAACAAGCCAGGTTAAGTGCATTTCTGGACTGAAGTGACATCAGTTGTGTAGGAAATGACTGGTATTTGGTAGATATGTTCAAAAAACACCTTGCACTGTACACTAGTGAATTGACATTGCTGTGTGACTTACGTTAATTATAGCCAAACATAAACAGCTTTCGTAATTTAATTGCAAGAAAGCAAAATTTGGCAGACAGGATGATCCCTTAGTTGACATGGCATGTACTTTGAATTATGTAACTGTAACTATGAATATTGACATGTTTTTGCCTTTTAGTGATGTTGAATATTGAAGTGCCATGAAAGATATTTCCAAGAGGGCCTTAAGATAAATTCTGCTCATGCTTTACCCTTAAGTTTTGCATCGTAGAGCAGAATGCTTTGCTTTTCTTTGGCCAGCCTCGTTTTGTTCATTAAGCATCGCACTCCGCACACCGCAGGCACTGCATGCCTCAGTGCTCCTGCACGGACAGTCGCGGAGGCATTCCTTTTGGTTCATGCTCAGCCGGCTCACTTCCATAGTCAGAGTTCATGCAGCTGAAGGTTTTATTCAGATTATAATTTGTTTAGTGCTACATGTGACGATTTATTATTTACAGCTTAGATTATTGATTTAATGTGTAAGCACATTTGACTTTTACATATGGATTACTGCATTCTACTGATTCTTTGTGGTTGGTTTTCATCCTTTCTTACCTGTGTCAGTGTAAAGAGCTGAAGTACTAAAACTCTTAGTAGACACAATGAACAGTACGTGCATTTTCTTCCTGCCTTACCTCCTGAGGAACTGCCATTCCTAGAGTATTTAACTTTAATGCACCCAAAAGCTTTTGGGTAAAGTGAAGAGGGATGTATGGATGGTTTAAGTTTTGCTTTGTTGCATGAACTTTAAAGCAGTGCTTTGTATATGGAACATATATTTCTTCTCTTAAATATAGAAGAAATAAAGGAAAACTAAGGCGAGCCTAATTAATGTTTCAGAGCAACTTAAACTCTAGAGGAGAATTTCATGTTGCTGTATTACACTATTTACTCTGTGTACTACTATATACACATGTTAAATTAACAAATAAAATGTCAATTGTATTTGGCAGTACTACCGAGAATGGCTTTAAAATTGAAAATGTAAGTAGCATGGGCAGTGTGAGGTACGATTCAAGGGTTCTAGGAAATTTGCATAGGACCCCTCATGTGTCTCTTTATTATACCTATATCTGTTATCTAGATGTGAACATGCACATCTTTTTCAAATGAAAATGCTTTATTGTAAGAGAGTTTATCTGATCCTGTTTATTTTTCCAGTGCATTCCTGTATTATCTTACATAATAAGAAAAGTATTTCTTTGTAAACAATAAGAAAACTTCACCATAAATTATAGTGTGGGATTAACCAATTTGTATGTAAGCACTGGGCAAGGGGATGTAATGTGTGTGGCCCCCAACGTAAGCTTTTGTGCCTTGGTTCCAGGCAGATTGTGGATTTGGAATTGTTTGTGCCGGACTTGCTACATTCAGCCCTTTGGTTTATTACCAGAGTTGTCACCTGTAGATGTATGAGTGTATTTATGTGCTCACATGTAGGCGGAAGTCAGACAACATCCTGAGTGACCTGTAGGGTATATGTTGGCAAAAAGCGCGTTGCGTTTGTCTGATAAAATTGGATTCGTGTTCGTGTTTGGGAATGTATAGCATGTAAATTATTTCGTGTATTATTTAAAGGTAATTAAATGTTCATATTTTACTTTGAATGTTTTTCTTTGGTGAAAAAAAGATACGCAGTTGTCATTTTTTCTCACCTAGTTAAATGGGCTTGTATATTGCAGTAATGTAACAGAGCAGCTTTTAGCATTTCATTCCCCAAAAGATTGTTGGCAAATAATTCCTCTCATACATACTTTTTATTTATTTATTTATTTATTTTTGGTTGTTCTCCGGTACCGGGAATCGAACCCACGACCTTGCACTGTGCCGCTGAGCTAAATCCCCAGCCCTTCATACATACTTTTTAAAACTCCAAAAATACTTACGGTAGGCATAATGGGCTAACAGACTCAGCAGATGCGGGTAGGGATGTGTTAGGGTTTCCTTCGGCTCCTGTTGCAGGAACTTACGTCACAGCTAGTGCTTCGTTGTGCTCCTTCCAGCTGTCGGAAGGCGGGGACCAGGGCGTGCCTGCGTCTGAGGCGAACGTCTCTGCAGAGGCAGACCTAGCTGCCATTGTGGCGAAGACGGTGGTCGGCCAAGAAGAGCGGAGCTTGCTGGGAGGAGGCGAGAAGCAGCAGGGGAATCTTGAGTTAAAAAGACGAGGGACTCTGCTTTCCTTCTGTGTGTCTGGCGGAGAAGCAGACAAGAATATGGTGTGTCTAGTGTTCTATGAATTTTTTTTTGCATAAGGTCAGCTTTTAGTTAATTTATTTATCACAGTACTGGGGATTGAACCCAAGGCTATGTGCTTTACACTGCTATGAGCTACATCCCCAATGCTTTTATAATTTTTATTTTGAGACAAGGGCTAGCTCAATTGCCAGGGCCAGCCTTGAGCTTGTGATCTTCCTGCCTCAGGCTCCCAAGTGTCTGGTATATTATTACAGTTTGCAGAAATGTCCCGCAGAAGCTCCTGTGTTGAGAGGTAGGGCTTTGGGAAGGGGTGGGTCACGGGAACACGGACCTCACTGTGCGCTGATCCCCAGAGCTCGTACCCAAAGGTGCTCTTAGGAGGAAGGGCCAGGTTGGAGCGGGTAGGCCGCCGGGGTGTGGCTCGGGGGTGCATTCTGCCCCCCGCCCTGTACTTAGTCTGTCTCCCTCTCTCCTTACAGTCCCTCTCTGCTTCCCAGCTGCCGCACGTGAGCAGCTCTGCACGCCGTCCATGCCCTTCCTCAGCCGACCATGGACCAAAGCCATGAATCAGAATAAACCGTTTTCAATATGTGGTGCTACTTGAGTTATTTCTAGGAAAGTGAAATATCCTTTTGCACACACTGAGCTGTTTGAGAAAAACGGCATGTCTAAACTTTTTTAATATATTCCAACAGAAAGGGCTGTCATAAAATGGAATTGGCAGAATGCCGTTAATGATCAACTGTGAGTGAACAAATGAATAATCGCTTTTGATCATTTGAGTATTTGCATAGGCATTTTAAAAATAGACAATTATTTGAATATTTTAATGAAATCCATGCCTTGGAGGATAATGCAGCCATAAACAAGTGAATACATTCTAGTAATCTCCAAGCCTCAGTGTGAAGTAAAAAACAAGCAAACAAAACCAAGGTATATATATTTGCAAAAAGAAACTGGAAATGTTAAACTAGAACACGTATAGTGGTCAGGACAGGAGCAGTGGTAAAAAACAGGAAGGAATATAATAAAAGCAAGACTTCTGGGTCTATCTTTTTATATAAGTTTAAATTTTGAACTGTTTTACCCATTTAAAAATGCATTAAATTAAGAAAGGAATAAGCAAATCCTAAAATTAAAAACCAAGTATCAGTTGTAAATCAAACTAATGATGTAAACAAATTATTTCAAGTGACTTAAATATATTACCCTTACTGCACGTCATTGGTAGGATATTCATACAGTTAGGGACTTCAAGGAAATCTTAAATTCTACTCAGTATTCCTATTTTTATGTTAGTAAAACTGATTGTAATCTACAAAGCGTGTCAGGCGTTGTAAAGATAATATAGCACTAATGGATAAGGCATCTTTGTCCTCATTTTTCATACAGGTAAAGTCATGCATTTTTCTGTAAATTGTCTGTGACTTTGGGCCAGTTTTCCTGATGAGTGGTTACTGTATTTCTTTAGCATTTATTTTAAGGAAGATGGACTCTTCTTGACATTTTGCAAATCTCCCACTGTGTCAATAGCTTCGTATATTTTTATCTGTGCAGGGGACTCGATTTTAGAATCTTGTTACTCTGACATTGCTTCATGTGTTGCATCATAGCTAGACTTCTCCACTCCAAGGTTATGAAGGATTCACCCATGTTCTTCTAGTACTTCAGAGTTTAATTTTTTACATTTGACTGTCTAACCTGTGTGGAATTTGTTCTACATAGAAAGCGTTGACGTTTTCTTTTTCTGAGCCCTTTTGAGAATAAGATGCCCATAGGATGCTGCCCCTCGTGGTTTCACATGTGCAGCCTCTACAGAGGCATTTTCATGTAACCACATACAGCGGTCATAGGACGCCCACGTTACTACTGTATCTAATCCTCAGATCCCATTTGGAGTTTCCACTTGTCTCTCAAATGGCCTTTTTACTCTTTTTTTTTTTTTTTTTTTTTAAGTACTGGAAACTGAGTCCACTGCCTTTTCACTAAGTGACACCTCGACCCCCCTCCCTTTTTTATTTTTTGAGACAGGGTCTCACTAAGTGGCTAAATTGTCCATGTGGGAGACCAGAGCAGAACTGGGGCCTCACTGGCCGCCTCCGTGCACACAAAGGAAAAATTAATACAGCTGAGAACAGGTTGTTTACCTGTTTACCTTATCCATTAGCATAAGGGAAGGTAGATGCGTCTTGTGTTACTTTAATTGCTTGTATCTGTTTGAATAAAAGGAAGATGAGCCAGACTCGTGGGGCTCCTCAGCCTACCAGAGCCAGGAGTCCCCTGGCTGTCTGCATGTTAAACTGCCTTTCATCCTTGTTCGTCCCTGGGTCAGGGTGCCGAACTAGCAGGACGACGTCCGTAGAAGTGGCACTTCGGGTGGGGAAAGACTGTAGAGGGCTGGTTCCCCAAGGTGGCGCCTGGGCAGGGACCTGGGAGGCCTAGACTGGTCTCCTACATGTTCAGACTGGGCTCAAATTTGCAATCCTGCCTCAGCCTCCCAGAGTGATGGGATTACAGGCGTGCAGCACCAGCCTCCTTTTTAAAAAACCAAAAAAATTCAGATTAGAAACACATACCTGGTTGTCCGGTCTCTAGCTTCCTCAATCAGAAAGTTTATCAGTGTTAAAAGTAAAGCTTCATTTTTTTGCATCCTGTCAGGTGAAATCAGAATAATTCAACTGAATCTGCTCCTGGTCATGTTCCTTGATATGAAGTGATACAGTCCAGGCTTCCTAGCTGCGAAGTTACTCATTTTCACTTAATATTTGGTGGGGAAGCACTAGTCCTTTGTATAAAACCCTCAGTTCCTTTTCCAAATTCCTTAGGCTTCTAGTGGATTGTCACGTTCATGTAACACTCTCTGACTCCCATGTCTTCTGCATCAGTGGGGTTACTCTGCTCTTCCTCTCAGTCCCTTCTTTTTTCAACAGTTCTCTCCACTTCATCGGGTCATGTGAAACTGCTGAAGTATTCTTCTATCTTGGTTTTGTTTAATCTTGAATTTACTACTATCTTCATTGTGTTTCTCCCACAGAAACTGCTTCCTACAAAATTCCTCAGAAGGGTCTGTAAGCGCAGTATTCCCTTACTTACGTATATCTTCTGTTTGATTCTTCAAGGAAAGCATAACTGGATGCAAAATTCTCTGCATTATTTGATTTTTTTTTTTTTTGAGGTAGGATCTCCCTGTGTAGTTCAGACTGGGCTTGAACTTGCTGTGTAGCCCATGCTTGCAGACTTTCACTAGTTAGTATGGTGTTATCTGTGGAGTTTTCACATGTAGCTTTTATTATCTTGAAGTTTTTTCCTTCTACACCTAGTTTACTGGGGATTTTTTTTTGGTCATAAAAGGGTGTTGAATTTTGTCATACTTTTTGTGCATCAAGAGGACCGTATGAATTTTTTTTATCCTTTCTGTTAATGTGGTGAATTACATTGATTTTCATATATGAACTGCTCTTTTTTTTTGTTTGTTTGTTTGTTTGTTTGTTTTTCGGTTTTTCTCCGGTACCGGGACCCGAACTCACGACCTTGCGCTTGCCAGGCAGGCGCTTTTGCTGCTGAGCTAAATCCCCAGCCTCAGCTCTTACATTTATGATTTACAAGGTAGGATGCCTGCAGAGGCTGCTGTCGAAGATTGCCGCAGGGCCAACTGCACACAAGATCCTGAGGATCCAGTCAGAAGTCAAAGGCCTGGAGCTCGCTCCTCAGTCCCACATGAGTCCGTATCAGACCGCTAAAGGGTCTGCACTGGAAGCCTGGAGGCAGATGTCCAACAGCGAGGGAAAAGTCTAGAGCTCGTTTAAAAAAACCAGAAGTGGGCCTTCCTTTCCTTTATTATCCCACCCAGGTTACGAGCCTATTGGTTGGTCCGCCCACACCTCGGTTGGGTCTTCCCTCTTGAGGAAGTGCAGACATTGCGTATTCAAGTTGACCCCACAGTTAACTGTCCCGGGAGGGGAGAAAACCCTCAGTTCCATTATCTGAGCCGTCATCCCTGAGCTCATCTTCAGTTGCTCTTTTGATGTGGTTTCCAAAAATAGGAAAAATAAGCAGGCGATACGAGAAATTCTCGCCTCTGCCAGCTGCCTGTAAGCATGCAGAATTGTCAGAGGACAGGAGTGGGACACGTTTCACATCGCTGGAACTGAGTGAAGTGCCTTTACTCAGATTACCAGCTCGTTAGACACTTTCAGAGGGCGTTCCTGTGATAAAGCAGCAACTGACAACCAGGTAGGGAAACTCTAGACTAGCGCTTTTTAATAGAAGTATACTGTGAGCTACAGTACACATGCAGTGGAAAAACTTGTAAAAGTCACATTTAAAAAGTATAAAGAAAGGAAAACTAATTTGATAAATTTTATTTAGCACTATATATCCAGAATCATTTCAACAAATAACATA